TGTGAAAAACTCATGCCGTGAGCAAAACCCAAGCCTTCTGGGTAAGCACAGGAGACACTGGGCTTGTTTTTCACTATAGCAAAGCCATCTCTATCCTAACTTGGAAGATGGCATTGTGCATTTTATCTGTGAGATTTAGGTTATGCCTCATGACAATTGACCTCATCACTGATGCATGTGTCCACACGCCATCTGGAGTGGTCCCTAAATACATTATCCACATGTAATGTTTATCAAGTGAAGTAATTCTTGCCCACCCAACCCTAACTTTGTATATGCACCACTCACTACCATAAATACTCTCATCTAATCTCAACTAACTTAAAATTTTCAAAACAGCTCCATTTTTCATGAGATTTCATCAAAAGAATCAAGAAGGAGCTATGGAATAGACTTTGTCTGTTTTATTTTCATCTAGTCTTGTTGTTATTTGTTTGGGTTTGCTCATAGGGGCCTATAACGCACTCGGACTGGCTCCTGCTATAGTGAGTGTAAGTAATGTCTCCTCTAGCCATCAATTGTGAGCACCACCCACACCCTCCAATAAGGAGGAGGAGTCACGTTAAACATTCATCCTCTTGTGAGTGAGAATTCATTGTACATGAAAGGTGGTCCAGGAAGGGCATGCAAAGCTCTTCATGTCCTTTTCTTCTGATCCAACTCCATCGTAATCGTTATCATCACCATCAGCTTTCCCTCTCCTGTCTCTCTTTGAGAGAAGAAAATGAATAGAAAAGACATTTGAAGGAAGCTATACACATCAAAGACAGTTTTGAAACCATCAGGTTATCAGCGTTTGGTGTAAAGTCAGCTCCTTACACGAATGGAGAAAAATTTTGTAAACATTGTGGATAAAGGTACCACAAGGAATGGTATTTCCATTATTAGAAAGTGACAGTCCATTATTCAGAAGTGCAATGAAGGTATACATTGCTTTCAATGTATAATTTTCAAGTGGTTTTGTTCAAACTCCCAAGGATATGTCTAAACTTTACACTAGCAAATATTACCTTGCAGCTTCACGCTTTACTTTAAGAAGTTTCTTTGAGGTGAATCACTCAGACGCTCCAGAAACTTGGACTATTAATAACAGTCACTCAGGAGGGAGGACTGCAGAGCTTAACGCCCTGGGAAAGTTGCCATGGAGCCACCAAGTCCTTCACCTCACTGCCTGGCCTCTGGCCAACCTTAGCAGCTTGCAAAAGACACAGCTCCTCTCCTGCTGCTGCACCGTGGCCTTGAAAGACGAGTCAAGGATTATTTTAACCTTCGCCAATAATTTACACTTTGAACACTACCATCTCACGACTACATGACAAATTTAAGACCAGAAAGGCCAAAGATATCGAAAATCTTAAATTACAAGGCGATTTCGAAAGCATCTAGACTGTCTCTGACCCAGCAAGAAATCTGTCTCCCTGAAAAGTGATGCACAAAAGGATCGGGTCCTAGAAGCAACACCCAATGGAGACAACGACCTTCAGTTACTCACTGTTTATTATAAACTTGCCAAATTCTTACCATAGAAGTAAGTTTGGCATCTCCATTTCATACAAGGGGCTGTGAAGATGAGAGGGGCAAATGATTTATCTGATACTTCAAAACACTTGAATCATTTCTCCCAATTTCATGACCATAAACCCTAACACACACTGCTCCTAGCAAGTAAATTATTAAAGATTAAAGATTCTCAAGCTGTGGAGTGACTAAATGAGCCGTTTGTTTTAAGAAAGTGGCTTTAACAACCAAAGTCCAACGGGGAGAAGATAAAGAACTGTGACTTCACAACATTTGGAGAAGGGGAAAGAACAGGAAAATACAATATATAAAATGCCATCTTAGGATGGGAGTTGAAAAGTAAATAAAAGACATATCCAAAATATAAAATTGACTTTTATAATTCTTATGTCTGTATATTTCCTTTTAACTTCACTTTTCTTTGCCTAGTGCAAATAGGAATATCTGTCTCCCCCCATAAATAAGATTCTGTACTTCTTTTTTTTACTCTTTTTTTTAATTGAAAAATAAAAAAAAATTCCGCCTCCTCCCAGCCTCCCATTGCCCTCCTCTTCCTCCCACACCCCTCCCCCTCCCCCCACTCCTCTCCCCCTCCCCCCACTCCTCTCCCCCTCACTCTCCAGTCCGAAGAGCAGTCAGGGTTCCCTGCACTGTGGAAAGTCCAAGGTCCTCCGTGAGGGGTGCACCCACCCACTGAGACAGAGGGACTGATATATTGGAAGCTCACCAAGGCCAGCTGGACTGGAACTGAAAAAGCATGGGATAAAACCTCTTTTTTTTCTTTTAAAAAAAAAAAAGGCATATTTATTGATTGTTATATAAAGTGTTTCTTCATACCAAGGTCCCTAATCTAATTTACAAGTCTTTTTTTTTCTTTGCTTTTTTTTTTTTTTTTTTTTTTTTTCTGAGACAAAGCTTCTCTGTGTAGCTTTAGAGCCCATCGTGGGACTCACTTTATAGACCAGGCTGGCCTCAAACTCACAGAGATCTGCCTGCCTCTGCCTCACGAGTGTTGATCCTGTACTTCTTAAGGTGAGGGCTGGGACATCCACCCCACTCATCTTCTTAAGATGGATGTCTGACATACTTAAGTGAGACAGACAGCCAAACAGTTAACTGCCAGGATGGCACTTGATTCACTGCTGAGTGATGGCTCAGGCATTCAAGTCCTGACCCACATTTCCAGGGACCAGAGTTCATATGTCCACCTCCTATGTAAAAAGCCAGGCATGGCAGTGTACCTCTGTAACCCTAGTGCTGGGGTTAGAGACATGCAGATCCCAGGATCCCATTGGCCAGCCTAGGAAATTGATGTGTTCTGGCCTCAACAAGAAACCACGTCTCAAAAATACAGTGGCGAGTGACTAATAGAAGACAATTGCTGTTATTCCATGGCCTACAATTGTATACACAGAGGTGCACATGTGCGCACACACACAGTACATTCACATACACCAAAAATAATTTTAAAATGTGTCTAAAGAAATTATAGAATGCTTATAAACTCCTGAATGGATTCAAAGAGATTAAGAACAAACAATAGAATGAACTAAGAAATTCAGTACAAGAGGTGGAAATGAGATTCAGAACAGAGGGCTGGCAGGATGACTTGTTAGGGAAAGGCACCTGCTGCCGTGCCAGATGACCTGGCTTCAACCCCCAAAACTAGCCCAAATCTCACATGGTGGAGGGAAAGAATTGACTCCCACATTGTCCTTTGACCCCTCCCCCACATGCCATGGCACACATTGTGTCCCGCCACGCACACAAAATTGAAAATAAAAAAAAATCAATCTGAAATACTGGACATGAAAAGTTCCTGAGTCAAACAAACAATGTAAAGCCCGACCAACAGATGGACAGACTAGATGACAGCACAGCAGGCACTGGGTGTCTGTCTGTCTCTGTGTGTGTGTTTACGTGGGTGTGTGCATGTATGTGTAGGTGTGCAGACCCATGCATTTACATGTGAAGGTCAGGAGCCAACATTGGGTGTTTTCCTCGGTTGCTCCTCCTCTTATTTTTTGAGACAGGGTCTCTCAGTGAACCATTGTTTTACACTAGTTGGACAGCCAAACCCTGGGATCCTGCTGTCTCTACTGTCCCAGAGCTGAGGTGTGAGAGCAACCACTACACCAAATGTTCACACAGGTGCTGGGGACTTGAACTTGGGTCCTCCTGCTTGGAAGGCTGGCTCTTTACACACTGAGTCCTCTCTCTAATCCCTTTTGCAGCTATTTTACCCAGTTATTTTATTAACAGCAAGGGGAATTAATTGGCAGTAATGGTGTCTAACATAATTGGCAAATGCTTATAATGGACAAACTCCAAAGTATTAGCGGTTTAACACAATATAAATTTATTTCTATAACACATAAAACCCAATTGTCAAGAGAATTGACTACCGTCTACTTAAAACACTCAGGAGCTGGTGCTAATGAAGTCTCTGCCAACGTTAAGATGGTTTCTGAGGCTTTTCTGGGAGCCGCCATCCAAAGAGTGGAATATTAAGAGGGCATGAATAATACATGGGGGTTCCATTGGGTAGGGGAGGCTTTCCAGTGGCAGACAACACCTCCATACAATCTCCACTAGACACATGGCTAGACCCAGGAGCGAGGGCACTGGGAAATAGAGCCCAGTAGCCAGGCAACTGCTTCCTTACAATGTCTGCTGTGGAGAAAGGAGTTCAAATGCCTAGTGGATAGCTAGTTGTTCCTACAACAAACATCTACAACCACAAGAGTGACCCATGGGACAGTTAGGAGACAGGGGTAAGGATCCAGAGTAAAAATTTGGTTCCAAGTTGAAAAATATTGTTTCCAAAAGACCCTGCAGCCTGGGTCCTGCAGCTTTTGAATGTTACAAAAAGGCAAAAGGATGCAGAATTTGGATGGGAGTAGAGGGAGGGGAAGGAGAGAGAAGAGACAGGGGAGGGAGGGATCTTGAGGTAGGTAGCAACACCAAGTTATCTGAGGAGATCCCCAAATACAGCTGTGTGTGACCATAAAAGGAAGAGGCAGGGAAAGATTGTACACACAGGCACAGGAGAGAAGATGGCGTGAAGTGGTGCAGATTTGAACCTGCTGACCTTGAGGATCCGAGTGATGCTGCCACAATCTAGGAAATGCCAGCAGCCACCGGAAGCTAAGTGGGACAAGCGACAGATTCATCCAGAGCTTCTGAACGACACATGCCCTGTTGACGTCTTTATTTAACACTGCAATATTAATTTCAGACTTCTCACCTTCAAGCTTTTATCACCTTGATTTTAGCTATTAGCCGATAGTGATTTTCAATGGGCCCCTTAGGAAACTAGTACCTCACCCAAGGGGATTAAGCGACTTAATAACTCACAGTTAAACATAAAGAGACACCAAACATTAAGGCATTGAGTTGACTAGATGGTTCGTCACTTAAGAGTATTGACTGCTCGTCCAGAGGACCAGAGTTCAGCTCCCAAAATGCACATGGTAGTTTACAGCTACCTGTAACTGTAGTCCTAGAAGATTCAATGCCCTCTTCTGGCCTCCAAAGCTACCACGTACATGTGTTTCACAGGAAAAAAAAATACACACCCCCAACACACAAACAAAATAAAATGGAAAACAATACTTTATCTTTGCAGTGTCCTCTCCATGTTGAGAGTGGTGGAATTTGTATTAGATACAAAAGCACTGATATTGGATGGGAGGCAAAGGGGTCTCTAAGAAGAGTATATTAGAAACCTCTTTCTGGCTATTCCCAGCCCACTAGTACAAATGTTTGCCAGCTTCCAGGACCCAGACTTCATGGGAGGAGAGCAGGGTTTCTAGGGCACCAAGCTGGCATCCACATCTCTAGCCAAGAGCATGAGTCAGCTCGCAGCAGTGAGCATTGCTGTCCAAGGATGCAGAGCAAGAAAGCTCCTTGGGTCTTAGGTTGCCTTTGCTTCAAATTTGCAGGTAGATCGGCATATTTTTTCAAGCAAAGAAAGACTCTGGAGTCTGGCAGGCAAAATCTATAGAGATGAATGGCCCTCTTATGCCGGGACCTAATTAATTGACAAAAATGATGAATGTGGCTGAGAGTTAGGATTTGCTGCTCCCAGGCTCACCATGCACACCCGTGTCAGGTAATCTTCATCAAGTCAGTGACTCATGCACCAGTGAAGAGAATATTGCCCATGCTCTTGCCTGTTCACAAGGGTAATCGGATGCGTTCCATTAGCCGACTCAGAAGCAAAGAGGAACCTCTGGGAATTCAGATCTTCCTATCCCTGGGGAAGCTGGAAATAAGAAATCATTAGGGTGGCTCCCAGTAACATGATGTATAAAAATGACAGAACTTAGTGAATTTCTCCCTCCCAAGTCACCTTGTCTCCCTCTGTGCAGGGCTCAGTTCCATGCTCGGGATCCAGTTACATCATGTGACTCTCAAAAAACCAGAGAGCCTTGCATTTGCTGTTAGGAGACCTGGTTTAAGTCCAACTCCATTAAAACAGATTTGGAAGTTTCTTTAGCACTTGTACTTTAGCTTTTTTGCCTGATAAAATGGTAGCCATGATGTTCTTCCCCCTCTAACATCTGGGACTCTGCATCTAATCCATTTGCACTATTGAAAGCAGGACATCTGGACACATCTGCATACCTGACTGCATTCTTCAAGGCCAGCAAGCAGAGGAGGACTGGGTTCTGGATATCTCCCTGTGCATGACTGGGGCACAGTGATAGAATATTCTGTCCTGTAGGCATCTTTAAACTGTGCTACAGACTTCACAGATGTGTATCTACCCGTTGCTCCTCAGCAGAGCCCAGTGTAAGTCATTAACCTGTGACTTCACAAGTATCAGTCAGGTCTGGTGGAAGAGAGAAGAGTGATCAGGACTAAATGAGAGCTTTAATTACTATACATATAAAACTTTACCATAGTGACTGTTAATCTCAGCAATCAGTTTGATTGGATCTTGGATCTTCAGAGAACCCTGCTGGGTGGGACAATGAGAGGATCTCCTAGAAGCATTGACAGAGGGGGAAGTCATGTCCCAAGAGCAGGCAGCACCCTCCAAGGCAACCCACATATGAAGAGGTTGAAGGAAAACTAGTAGAGCTTTTGCCTGTTCTCCTTTACTTCTTGCTGGTGAGTGCATCTGCTCTGCTATTGCTACCGTTGTTGTCACCCTTTGCTAACACCAGAACCCAGGTTCTTCAGCCTTCCCAAATGAACTTATCAAACAACTCTTCAAGAATCCTCTAGGCCTTCAGTTCCAGATTTGAACTGCTGAGACATCCAGCCTCATGGGCTGAGCAACTAACTATTAGGTCCTCAACTCCTGCAGCATTCACAGACACTGTTGGATAATACGCTCCATATAATGTGCGCCAATAGAATCAACTCCCTTTGTAATATCCATTCTGTCTGTAGATTCTGCTCTTCTAGAGAACCTTGCCTTGTAAAAACCTTTAGGAGAACCTTGCTTGCTCTTTGGTTAGTTGTTTGTGGCACTGGAGATTAGTGCTAGGGTCTCATGCATGCCAGGCAAGTGCTCTACCACTGAGATACATTCCTAGCCCCTTAATTTACCTTGTATTTTAAGGCAAGGTCTCATCAAATTGCCTACTGACCTTGCAATCTTCCAGTTGCAGGCTCTTGCCACTGAGAGTGTAGTCCCCCGTCAGCAGACCGTACCTTTATATTTATATTTTAAGCTGCTGTGTCTAAATGCATGACAGGAAGCAATCTAAGGAAGGAGGGCAGGTTGCTTTACACGTCAAGAGAACACAGTTTATCCTGGCGGAGAACTGTGAGTAAACGGGTTGCACTTCATCTGCAGTCAGGAAGTGTACAGGAAGCTGGGTTCAGGCTATGAAAACCTCAAGGCCTGTTCCCAGTGACCCACCTCTTCCAATGAGTCTCTGCCTCCTAAAGCTCCCATGGCTTTCCAGAGCAATACGACTGGAGATGAAGTGTGCAAGGGTGTGCATCTGTGGGGCACACTGACCTTCAAATCACAGCAGTCTTACTTCCTGAAAAGACAAAAATCCTTCCCCTAGATAATACAGGGGAACTGCAGCATGGTGCAGGAAGAATTAATGAGCAAATGCCATGTTACAGAAATCCAATGAAAGTGTATGCTCAAATTCCAAAGACTGACAACAAACGGGCCAGTTTCCTGATGGGAGGCTTTATGGGTAGGGAAGGTGGGATGTGCTTCCGGTTTGAACTTAGCCCTTCCGTGTACTAGGGTAGACAAGGGACAGCTTATGTTTCCTCATACTCAGCTCCCTTCTTTATGATATGAAGATAATAATGATTTTATTAAAAAAATTGTCAGGGTTCTAAGAAACTAATGAATGTAATAAACCTGTTGAGCCAGGAATATCTGCTCTCAGGAACTGATTTGGCCAAGATTGAAGAAAGCCTGAGAGATGACTAAAGGCAGAGAGGGACTGTAAGTGACCACTGAAAGCAGCTTGACTAGAAAGTAAAGCAAAGAAAAAGAGAGGGAAGGTGGAATGGAGACAGATGTGTGTGTGTGTGTGTGTGTGTGTGTGTGTGTGTGTGTGTGTACACGTGCGCACGCTTTGTTTTGTTGTTGTTCTTCCTAGGGATGGAAACACAGAGCCTTGCATGTGCCAGACAAATACTCTACCACTGAGCCACATCCCTCACCATCTTCCTTTCTTCTTTCTTTCCTTCTGGTCCTATTGTGAGTTTTGATCTGATTAAAAGTGATAAAACAAGATCAACAAAGAAACATAAGGGATAGAACCCACTAAGTTTAGTGAGAAACTGCAACAGAATGAGATGGAATGTGGGTTAGCAAGGGGGATGCAATGCAGGAGAATGGCGAAGGCCTCTTGTGCATGGAGTGACTGTGTCCTCAGAAATGCCTTTGCCCGAGGACCACGGTGCACTCTGAGGTTAGGACTGAAGTCACCTGGGTAAAGTAGGGGCTGGGTGCTCAGAGTTATAAATATCCTAAAAGTTCCTAGGATAGGGCTTGATTGCTTCTTCTGCCCCAACAGAGTTCACCTGAGACTCATAAAAGAATTACCAAATAAGACTAAAGGGCTCTGTGGGAGGTGAAAATTAAATTTGGGAGCTACCATTGTCAGAGGTTAAATATTTCTTTCCAAAAAGTCTCCTTGGCAAAACTAAGGGATACAACGTATGCTCCACACAGATGCTCAGGAAGTGAGTTCAGTAGAGGGGCTGGACCGTAAGCGCAATAGTTCTCATAAAGCAGGGTGTTTTCATCATGGCGGCATGATCTGATTTGCTCAAGTTTCAGAATGTGTGAATTTAGGCGTTCATAACCCGGGACCAGCAGTGTGTGGTAACAAGATTCACTGTGCTCATTGTTACTGTGGCTTGTTCCCATCAGAGGGGCTCAAGAGCTGAAGTCTTGGCTCCTAGCTAGTGGATCCAGCCACTGAGGGGGCTCCGTCATGAGGACACTAATTTATCAACTGGCTAATACGTCTGTGAGTGCTTACTGCATGGATTCTTAGGAGGGGAGGCCTGCTGGGAGCAAGTGTGCTCCCAGGGGTCTGCCCGGTTCCTTCCTGCCAGGTGCTTTCCTCATAACCCGGCAGCCTCTTGTAAGCCGGCTCCCTGGCCACCTGCAGTATCTGCCAGGGTAGCCTGCCTCCCCACAGGCTCACAGAAACAGAGCAAGTGACCCGTGGGCTGAAAAACTCTGGCAGGGTGACACAAAACGGATCGTTCCTACTTTAGGTTGACGTGAAATGTTCGACTAAACAAATGCTATAACTAATCTACCAGCCAAGAGTTATCTGAACTTTAAATATGCAGTTTCTTTTCTGGACCTACTCAAAAATGTTTGAAATGGCATTTAGATTTTCCTGTCTCAACTACTGATCTCTCAGCCTTTCCCACCTCAGTCAACGATGCCAATATTTTACCAGTTGTTCAAGTAGATCGTAATTACCCTAGGTCTCTCTCTTTCACCCCCCCCCCCACCACCACACGCACATCCAATCCGTCTGCCAGTTTTGCTACTTGTACAACTGAAATACTTTCCTGAATTTCTTCCCCTTTTACACCAAATATCAAATACAAACATCTGAAAAATTTCTATAAAAGTTGCATTTGGTCTCTGGGTCATAATTGGCCAAATCCTGCCCTCGTCTAAGCCTTTATCATTTCACTCTTACTGTTTGCGTACTCTCTTCAAACCAGATCCCCTCCCTCTACTCTAGTTGTCTGATGGGCCGTTCTTTTCCTTGCAGTCCCTTTGAAACAACAATCCAATTCTGTGGCCTATTATCCTGAAATAGTGTACCGTTAAAAACAAAACAGCCCCAGCTCCTTGCTTTACAGCAACCTCTGATCTTGTTGCAAGTCTCCAATCCCGTTTCATCTCCCACCATGATGTCTGCACTAGCCACTCTGCTCACAGCGGCCACTTCGTAGTCCTTTGATTTCCTAAGCTTGCTGTCTATTCAAGTCTTAGCCAATACACTTCATTCTTCTTGGAATTACCCTGTCTTAAAAGATGCTTCCTTGCAGCAAAGGCAATTCTGATCTCATCAACAGAAACACTCCTTCATCTCCCACACATGCCAGCACCCTGTGTCCTTTCCATTTGGGTCATTTTTTCCAGAACACAGTGTCCAAAAATCATTGCATTTATTGCTTTACATTGTAAAGATTTCTCTGTGTATCTAATATTAGGAAGAGAAAGCCCTTGTCCTATTTGTCAATGCATCTATAGTGACACTAACATGTCTAGTATGTGCTCAATTTGCTGAATGGAACAGAGAATGGTGGGATGGGTGGCTGATCAATATTAAACGATTTAAGTATATGACACTTCCAATGGTCTCTCTGTCCTCTTATAATTCTTCCATACTCTGGTGCCAAGAAATATTTGAAAGCCTTCTTGAAGATCTGTGGGGAATTGAACACTGTAAAATCGTAAGCAAGAGAAATGATTACTAACTTACATGCCTGTCCCCTATCTTAGAAGCATCATCGTCATATGATAACTCAGCCAAGAACTGCTTCTGTCTTAGAGAAGATCTAACACTGAATGAGGTAGAAAGGGTGGGCCTTATTTTTCCCTTTCTGACCATTGGGATGCTGAAGATGACTCAGACCCGAGTGACATCAGGACAGAGGGGTTTAGAGTTAGAATGGCTGGGTTAAGCCTTGGTTGACTACTTCCTAGTGACCTTAGCCAAACCGTGGAACCTCTCTTTCACTGCATTCCATTGTGTATAAACTTGGGGAAAGGTAAAATGATGTTACAGATTGCAAAATTAATACACTTCTGAATATAAAAGACTTCTCTCTAAGGATATGGTTTTTGAAAGTGATTTGTCCATGTTACCCAGGACAGATTGGATTCTAACATTTAAACTCAACCTTATGGACTTACACTTATGTATGGAAGTACACCGGAGATATACTTTTAAACCCAGATTTCAAATTCAGCGCAACTCTGCCTAAACTTGAGAAGTAGGAAAACACTCAGCCAAGCATCTGCATCGCTTGGAAAGTTACACTTTTTCTCTTGTACCAGATCTGATGCTGCAAATGTTCTCCAAGGATTCTCTTAATTCAGCTGGAGGCTGCTGAGCGGTACAATTAACTTCTGGTTGACAGAACTCCTTTTCTTTGTTCCCCTGTGCTCATTCTTCCTAAGGCAACTCAATTGTTTCTGCTGTTTAATTTCTCACCGTATATATACTTAACAGAATTGAAAGCCAGCAGGTATGCCATATAAGGAGACATCAAATGAGCTATTAAAATAGCACTCGTTTTCAAAGTCAGAATTTGCTCTACCTAAGCCATCCCCATCTGAGTGCAAAGTAGGAAGGAAGCCGCGAG